CATTGAGGAAGATTTCTGCCAGATCCATGCATCGGATCAAGAGCAGCTGCTAAAATACCATTACATAGCAGCAAACAGATATTTGAAGCTGTTGGTGCCTCTGGAGTCCCACGTACATCAAGGTGTAGAGTCCTCCAGAGTCTTGCAACTGTGCATAAACCTTCTATTCGGCCACCACTAACCAATGCTCACAAGCAGAAACGGCTGCATTGGGCAGAAAAATACATGAAGACTAATTTTCAAACAGTCCTGTTCACTGATGAGTGCCGTGCAACCCTGGATGGGGCAGATGGATGGAGTAGTGGATGGTTGGTGGACGGCCATCCTGTTCCAACAAGGCTGCAATGTCAGCAAGGCGGTGGTGGAGTCATGTTTTGGGCCGGAGTCATGAGAACAGAGCTGGTCGGCCCCTTTAGCGTCCCAGAAGGTGTAAGGATGACCTCTGCAAAGTATGTGGAGTTTATGACTGACCACTTTCTTCCCTGGTACAAAAGGAAGAACTATGCTTTCTGTAATAAAATCATCTTCATGCATGACAATGCACCATCTCATGCTGCAAAGAATACATCTGCATCAATGGCTGTTATGGGGATAAAAGGAGAGAAAGTCATGGTGTGGCCTTCATCCTTCCCTGACTTCAATCCTATTGAGAACCTTTGGAGCATCCTCAAGCAAAAGATCTATGAGGGTGGGAGGAAGTTTACATCCAAACAGCAGCTCTGGGAGGCTATTCTGACATCTTGCAAACAACTTCAAGCAGAAACTGTCCAAAAACTCACAAGTTCAATGGATGCAAGACTTGTAAAGCTGCCATCAAATAAGGGGTCCTATGTTAAAATGCAATGTGACCTGTTAAAATGTTTAAACAGTTAAAATGTTGTTAAAAGTTTGATTGAAATAGCTTTTGATTTCAGTAAATATGCTGCAAACACAACAAATGACAATTTTCAGTTCTTTACAACCTATAAAGTGTTTTGAAACTTATTGTGCCTAATAATTTGAACAGTGCATTGGAAGTTTTTTATGTTTAAAAAAAATCCTGTTATTAGGAGGTTTGTTCAATAAAATTTGAATTGTACTCTTAATAGTTGATAACATGAGAATTATGCTGACTGTTATTTACATCAATTATTTAGGTAAATGAAAAAATATATTTTGCATAATTATTTGGAACAGGGTGTATAACATCCAATCTAATTATTCACAAGATGTAAAAGTCTCCACTGCCTCTGATTCCCATTATTTAGATCCTCAGAAAGGGCCATGGGGTGGTGGTGGCAAGGGGTTAAGGTCACCACCAACAAGGTATTCCACACTGCGGCTATTTCAGCACTTTTATTATATCCATAAAAGTGCAGCACAGGATTAAAAATTTCTCTATACAAAGCATGGTGCCATTTCAAGCAAACATTTATTTCTCAAACATCACTATTTCCTACATGTAGGAACTTGGGTTTTGTGCTGCACTTTCATGGATATCATAGACTAGATTTTTTTTTTAATTGCTGTGTGGAAGTCTACAGTTCTAATTATTTTGTTGGGATACCAAATATTAAGTAAAAGAAAAAAAATCTCAAGCTTCTTACTGCTTGAGTGTGTGTCTTTGTTCAGGGAGCTTTGAGGATGCTCTTGACCTCCTAGAGAATGGGGAACAGCTTACTTTACTAAATTTCCCACCTCCCCAATGTCGCCAGTGTGGGTGGTGTTTGATCTCAAGGATGATGAGCACCACCTTACCTCTTTATAAAGCCACATATTTGAATAGGGGGGCACTACACAAATTTGATAAAGTCTGGGGAGGATTCATAGCTTCTCCTCTCACAGCATCAGACTAAATGTGTATCCTGCTCTGTCCTTTTTTCCCAGGGTCTTTGGCTTTGTTCTTCGCAAAATGTAGTTTCTGTGTGACCACTGTTTTTTTCACCCATACTAGTTTCTATATATCATCTTAGGCTGGGTATAGGATGTGGACAGAATTCTGTATTCTACCTCTGCTGTCATATTGTAGAGAGGTTCCTCTATCCTGATGTTATTTATTGTACTGATCCCAGCTGTTATTATCACAGCCATTGTTTTTTTTTTTCTTGTCTGATTCTTCAAGACTGCTTGCCGTATTGTGTCCTGTTTTTTGTTTGGTATGGCAATGGTTCATTGAAAATAAATAAAGAGAATTAAAAAAAAAAAAGAATGACAAGTGCCAGTGGGTTCTGCCCACCCTCACCTCCTCATCTTTCTCTGGCACATGTTTTGTGCAGTGGGTCCCACCAACATTCTACCTCCCACATCTGGCTGCTGTTGGAGGGAGGAGAGAGTAGAATCTTTCATCCAGCAGCTCTTGCAGCCCCTACTGTGTGCCCTGTTCCCAGGGTGGCCAAATATGACAGCAGCATCACTCCTTTCATTCAAGCAAATGTAGAAAGAGGCACTGAGAAGCTGCCAGTGGTCCCTCTCCCACAAGCTGGCACTGCACCCAGAGCAGGCGCAACTACTACCCCTTTCTTGTCCTGGCTGTGCAAATAGATACATATTATAGTACGTACAGGTTGATGAAGCTAAGAGTATAAGTAAATTAAAGGACACGTCTTTGATCTGCCCATAAGATCTGAAACAAAATACATTGTAACAATATATTTATTGGTAAAGAGTGAAACCGCTTTTATTCTCAGAGGAACCACTGTCAATTATCTTGCAGAACAGAGCTGGACAGTTGACAGCTGGGTCATGGCAATTACACCCTCTAGAATGTGAACAGTTTGGGAATGAGCACTTACATACAAGGTATTTCCTATATACTGTTTTTTAGCATAGCTCATATGTGAAAGGGTCAAGCAATTAGGCCAAGCATTGCTTCTTTAATATAATGAAAGCAATGTAGACTATGCAATAACAAGATAAGGGATCCTAATACAACTGCTTTTTCACCTAACAATGTAAACCAGGTTTTTCACATTGCAAGAAAAAAGTCCCAGAATGTACAGTAAAGGCCTGAAAATACCCTTTAAAAAAACAAAATAATAAACACTAATTACACTTCTGACCGATAAATTATACAATATTAGCATATGGTAAGAGTTATTGCACTTTTATAAGTCCAATATAGTTAATAAGTGCTGGGTAGAGAACTGAAAATGTCATAAGTTTCTGTGCTGTAGAATTTGTTCACATCCATCAGGTATTTCAACATAACATTAAACTTCCTGTATCCTTAAGTAAACATCAAATGGCCATTTTATTTTGCAAGGACTTTCAGTGCATACTTTTATTAAAATGATAACCCTTACATATGCCCATACATATACTAGCCTCAGACAGCCATCACATGGTGATGAAGCAAATTGTCATGGTCAGGGGTCAGGCATGGAGACCATTAGGTATACCAGTAGAGAGGCTTCCACTGACCAGCAGGATAGGTATACAATCAGGTCACCATGGCAGATGATGCGGACTTGCATAAGGTGTCTGGTTTAAGCACTAACTGGTATTCAACAGTATTCCTGATGATGGAAATGCGTTCTGCTTCATGTTAGTACCAGTTTGTGATCTTCAGTACTGCTCCACCAGGAGGTGAGAAAGTTGGGGTCCAAGTAGCATATATAGCAGGTAGGGATTAAGCAGAAGCATAGTCAGTAAACAAGCCAGAGGTTGTTAACAAGTGGTTGCAGGTTGGGATCAAGCAGAAGCATAGTTGAGGAACAAGCCAAAGGTCGGTAACAAGTAGTTGCAGGTTGAGATCAATTGGAAGTACAGTCGAGAAACAAGTAAAAGGTTGTTAACAAGTGGTAGGGAAGACAGATGGCAGCATTTGTCTTTGCTAGTGACAAGAGTGAGATACTGGCTGGACGGAGCACAATAATCTGGCAAACAGGAAGTGGAAAATCATGGCTTAAATAAAAAGTTCATGGGAGCAAAGGGTTCAAAAGAAACAAGACACAAGCCTATATTTTTTAAGGAATCAGGAAGGGAGCTGCATCTGAGGTGGCTCAGGAAGAATAGAAACCGTCAGACATAGCTGAGGTTTCAGGTTCAGATCTGGGTCCTGACAGTACTCTCCTCCTCCCAGGATGTCCCCTAGACATTTTGGGCCAGGTTTGTGAGAAAACCTGTGGTGGAATTCTCTTGTTAATCCAGGGGTATGAGCATTCTCCTCAGGTTTCCAAGAAATTCCATCTTACCCATATCCTTCCCATTGACCCAGATATTGTAATTTGTTCCTAAAGATCCTGGAATCTGGATTCTGATGCAAATCCTCCAAACAAAGCTGAACCTGTGTCTTCTCTTTTCCAGAGCCATTCAAAGTAAACAGATAAGATGTATTTCTCAGCTTGCAGGAGGTGGGGGGTAGCCTTCTGATGTCACAAACTGCATAGAACAGAGCACAGAGCTGAATGTAAAATGAAACCTGAGTGGAGGGAAATGACACACTTCCTCTAAACATTCTCATAAGCAAACATGCAGAGCTGAGGCCATCAATCACCCTCTGTTTGTTGTAGGAAGGGGGCAGGGCCATCTCCCAAGATTGCCTTGTGTCAGGAAAACCTGTCAGAAGTGATTCATGCAGATATCAGAGGAAAGAGCTGTAGGGGCAGTGTGGTGTGCGATTCAGCGCATCACACAGCTCCATTTTTTTAATTTGAAATGTACAAAAGTACATTTCATTCATGGCACTGTACAGCAGCACAATGTGTTGCATGGCTATACAGTGCCATGTGGTTCTGTACGGTGCGCTGCAATAAAATGTAGCAATTGTTTTCTGTGTATCCTTATGGGGACAGGAATTTTACAATGCAGTAAAACACTGTGACTGCATTTTGTGTGAATTCATTCTCTGTGCTATGATTTGAGGCAAGTACATACTATAGATGTTATGCTTTGCTCATTTTTCATTCATGGGTTTACAACCACTTTAATTTGTTTTTCTTTTTATATTTTATTACTTTTATTATTTATCATGCTATTAGTTATGTTGTATTATAAAATGTAAAAAGGGCAAATCACTCTAACAAATAATCTTGAAACATCAAAAAGAGAAGTACAGTTATTTTTTCAGTTCTCTGTCCAGTTTTAGGTTTGTTATTATGTATTAAGCAGGGGTGGACTGACCATTTGGAAACTTGGGCACTGCCCGAGGGCCCGGGGTCAGTAGCGGGCCCCATGAGATGCCCCTAGTACCTTTTTTCATAGACTTTTTTGAGTTTGGGCAAAGACACAGGGGCCCCATGATCCCCTATTGCCCGGGGGCCCCATGAGTTGTCAGTCCGCCCCTGGTATTAAGTATATCTATTAAGAATTAGGAAAACAAACTGACACTGAGTCCAGGATGAGTTTATTAACTCATGATGGTTAAAGTTCTGTCCAAAACCATATGGTACATACCACCTATGAATCTGTCTGTCTCAGTGTGATGTGCAACTTTCTAAGGAGCAACAAAAAATATCCACTCAGGCGTGAAACATATGAACAATCATTAGTGCACGGCCAAAAAATGACTTTATGAAAGTTTTCTATTGTAGTTATGTTTAAATCATAAAGTAAGTTTCATTATAAACCCAGCAGGAGAAATATAATTTAGGGTTAATAACGAATGCGGCTAGATAGAAGCACATCAGTTGGAACATCTCAGTGACCAGACCCAGACAATAAAAAGGTTACAATGAGTGTGCAGCAGATAATGAAAATGTTTAAAGTAATTTTAGCATTAGATGGTTTTCTTCTAAGAAGCAGTTATGCATAATAAATATTCTATTTTATCTCTACAGGGCATAGAATGACTATAGTCACTCATTAAATAAGCTGACTTTAAAAAAAATAATGCTTTTTTTCCTTTTTGCTTCTTGCCAACAATAATAGACAAACTGCACATAAATGTTTTGTAGCATTGCAATATTCTGTAATGTTGTACAATATGTAAGGATTATATCATACTGGCACCCTGGTTTTAAGAAACAATTGTGAAACGATATCATAACCAGGCTCTGGTATGGATCTCAGATTAGCAGGGAGGCCAGTACAGAATTATCACTCTCTTAGAAGAAACTTTTCTTAGATTGGAAGGGATACTGGATTTAAGTGTAAGAATTTTTATAATTTGCTCCCCAACTGATTTTTCATGTATTACAAGAGTACAAAAATACACTAGTTTTTCACGTATGGCTCCATGTGCATGAACCCTAACCAAAGGTGAACACAGAGGATAACTTTCAGAGTTAGACTTGTGTGTTCCAAAGTGTTGGATTCGGCTTGGCTTGGATACCACTTGGCGATTAGAGTGTAATCTAAATCAGATTCTAAATCTTCAGTTAGCCAGGAATACCATTTTACATGTTTAAAGACCCAAAAAGTGGCATATACAGCATTCTTTAGTCAATTTCCATGATTTTAGTTTCTCTGGTATGTAGAGTATATGTGTGCTAAATATCCTATCATTTGCTTTTGGAGAACAAGTTGCCTCTTTGTATCAGCTAAAACAATCTATTAATATATGTGATAATATGGTCACAAATATTTCATTACATTCATGGGGAGATTTTTTTTCCACTTTATTTGTTGTTATTGCTCTGTGTGTCTTATCACTTTATTGTGCACACCTTATATCTTGACTTTAAGCGCTGTGTGAGTTCTGAAGGTTCTGGGAAAGGTTTAAAAGGACACCTGATACATCACAGGTCACTGCCTGACTGCTATTAAAATACAGACAGCAAAACATAGATTACTGCGCTGTCAATCACCTACCAGCTGTGGCAGAATGAATTAAAAAAAAAAAAAGGACACGCACCAGAAATGTAGAAATAAACGATACAAAAATACAATAATGCTGCTTTATTGCCATTGAAAAGTTAGAAACCATATCTTAAACCTTGCATTTTAATGTTATGAGTAACGATAAACATACATTCATACCTCTCAATATTTTAAATTGACAATAAGGGGCAACCTGAAAGCCAAAAAAATGCAGCATGGAGAAATGGGTGTACAGTTGCTTCATTCATTCATAGAGATCTATGAATGAATGTTGTACAAGTCCTGTATGCCCCCATGCCAGACAGACTTGTAGTTCTCATTGGAAAACAAGTGTGGTGATGTCACCGCACTCATAGTCCACTGACACTTCCTCCAGCTCTCCAACTGGAAGCAATTACAGAGGTACAGACAGAGAGCTGGAGGAAGAGTCTGCCAGAGCCTTACATTGCACCCACCATCCACTGATGCACTGAATGCGGGTGAAAGGTTTGCAGGCTCCTATTTAAAAAAATTAAAATAAGAAAGATTTTGCCTGCAAAAAATTGAGATGGACTTTTTTTTTTTTTTTTTTTTTAAATAAAGATGAGCCTAGCCTTTTACTACTGTACCACACTACACAGAGAGTTCACAGACACACATAATCTTAAAGGATCATCCTTAGAAAATAAAATAGAATATGCACAAAAAACTACAATGTTGTCTAAGCTTACTTTTAAGAAGACCCCCAATAAAATAATCAGAAATTACTTAGCAACCAGCGACTGTTGAGACAATAAACTGTTTAGTCAGGAGTATGTAATGTACAAATTTAAGCAATTTGTTATATATAATACAATATACAGAATGCAGCAGTCAGTAGTGTGTATCATAGTGCCTCTTATATTGCTGCTAAACAAGAAGAACAGATGGCCGATGTCAATGAGAGGAAAAAATGTCCAGCATTGATGGCTAAGGGGAGGAAAAATGTCTGTTTTCAGTGGTCAGGGGGGAGGAACAATAACTGTTAGCTGGATGAAACAAAGGCTAGTGTCAGTGTTTGGAAAAAATGCTGCATAGTTGTTCAACAGAAGAAAAATCCTCCATTGGGGGAGGGGGCTGGTCCTCTGCAGAGGAAGAAGAAGGCACTGGTGCTTTGCAGAGGGAAAGAGGTGGACTGAAAGGAGGGGCCCTGGCACTCTGTGGAGGGAGGAAGGCACTGGCACTCAGCAGAGGGAGTGGGGGGGCACTGATGCTTTGCATGAGGAACAGTGGGGACACAGGCGCTCTGCAGAGAAAGGGGTTCACTGGTGCTCTGAGGAGGAAGAGGAGGGTGCCAATACTCTGTGGAGGGTGAGGGGGGCACTGGTGCTCCGATGCTAGGAGAAACTGATGTTAAGCATGAGAAGTAGGGGGCACTCGTACTCTGTGGAGGAAGGGGGTGTTGAAAGTGGTAAGTGGGGCTGATTTTAGGGTGCTGGATCTTCTTTAAGGTAGGCCCAGGCAGGACGCATACTGTATGTAACAGAATCGATTTTTTAAAAGGGATTCTATGGCAAAAACAGTCTGTTCAGGTGAGAAGGGCACAGATGTAGCATTCGCCTCTTCCATGGCTTCCCAGCAGTCGTGGTAACACTTCTCATTGATGGCTTGGAGAAGGGATGTGAAGCAGCAGTGTGTCCAGTCCATGCTCTGTCCACAGACAGCGCAGCACAGAGAAATCCTCCACACACAAAAAGCAATCCTGATCACGAGCATAGGAAAGGAGAGGAGTGGAGGGGAAGAGGAGGTGAGTATATACAGCACACAGTTCAGTTATCACATACCTGGTGATGGAGGTCAATGGAGAGAGGGCTTCCCTAGTGGCTAAGTTCTGGACTCCCCTGAGAGTGGGACAGCGGGAGTCAGGCCCAAAGTTGCACAGGTTGCCTGTAGGAGTGCTGGTTGGTGGTCCACTCAGAAGCGCAGCTTGTGCACAGAGATAGGTCTGCAGACAGGAGGCGCCTGTACGTGGTATGCAAGCCCTTCCAGGATTTAGATGTTTACTGGGTAGTCGGTTCAAGCCAAAGTCAGGTACCAGGTGGGAATCAGAGCAGACGTAGTCATATGGGATAGCCGAAGTCATACACAGGAGCGAGAGAGAGTATCCGTAAGCCAAGCCGAGGACAGATCGGGTAAAGCAGAGTAGACAGGTCCAGGAGCAAGCCGAGTCGGTATCAGGAAATCACAGGTCACAATCACAGGAAACAGGAACAAGGCACAGGGAGCTAGAGATCATCTAGCAACTTGAGGAAGAGATGAGCTTCCTTATAAAGGCCGTCTGGCACCAAACTGAGGCTGATGTGTGCTTCTGTGGCCGTTCAGGGTACTGGCAGAAATTCCATATCTTCTAGAACTTCTGCCGTGGACAGGACCCTGACATCAGCACTGCAGCTACTAAGTGAAAACTTGAGCTCAGCTGTCAACAAACAGCACTGCTAAAAGAGCAGGGACATGACAGCTGCAGTGTTCTGCTTGCGAGACACAGCTTAGATCTGCAGGATGCTGGGACACTGTTCAATGTCGGGTGCAGTCCCGCAGAATCTGGAATGGTTGAGAGGTAAAGAATTATAAGGGCAGCACAATGGTCACGTGGTTAGCACTAGGGTCATTGGTCTGATTCCCAACCATGGCACTACCTGCATTGAGTTTGCATGTTCTCCCTGTGTCGGTGTGACTTTCCTCCAGGTATTTTCCTCTCACACTCCAAAGCCTTGCTGGTGGGTTAATTGTCTACTGTCCAAATTGGCACTTGTATGTGAATGTATGAATGTGAGTTAGGGACCTTAAATAGCCCATAGATTATGCAGTTTTATTTCCTTCCACCAGAGGTCGAAGGAAAGAAACATGATCAGTTCACCCATCAACACAGTAAGTATTGATGGGGAAATCACTCCCACAGCGCTATAGTGTTCTGCTGACAGGGAGCTTTCCCTGCTGGCAAAACAGAATGATCATTGCTGGTGAAAAAAAAAAAAAAAATTGACAAGCCGGTTGTACTGAAGTATATTGATCAACTCCAGTAAAAGCAGCCTGCCCATAGATGGATTGAATCACGGCTGGTCCCTGCTGAACAGGGCGATATTTGGTCCATCTATAGCTAACTTTAGATTGCAAGTTCCTTGAAGGAAGAGAATGCTATCCTCACAATTCTCTATAATATTATTGAACAGTTGTAAGAAAGCCATAAAATACTTTACAAATTATTCAGGTTTCAAATTATCACTGATGATTGTTTGCTATAAATGCTAACATGAGATTGCAGAACATCGGGGGAGGGGCCTGAACATGGCGCTGTGAGCTCCATGTGTGCAGCCCTGTCTTGATTTGCTGTGAACCGATTGCCTGGAGCCCTGTCCTACCTGATGCCTGAGCGGGAGCGGTGCTGAGAGCCACAGTGGCTCTGAGTCTGGGCGTCCTGGTGGCTGCCAGAGGCAGTGTCGGTAGAGGTCGGACCTGTGCCCCTGGGAGAGGCAGGTCAGTGAGGCCCATCAGATCCCTGGGAGCAGGAGGCAGCGGCTCCG